AACTATGTGTTTTATAAAAAGTAAATGCAGATAGACATTTATTTGTTTATTTATATTGATAAATAAGCGGGTTTACCAACAGAGGCCTGACTTATGGTTGATATTAAGAGTGTAATTTTTCAGAGCGAATCTTGGGGTTGGCGATGGGACAGGTTTGTCTCATCATTTGACTTCAGCCATGAGTAAAAGAAGAGCCTCATATAAATCTGGCACATTTCGGGGCTTTAACCAGAAGCCCTTTCCTCCAGGCTACTCAGTGACAAATATTTATTTCACCAGAGGGAGGGGAGAATTGGACCTTTCATTCAATATTTAGGGAGAAAGATTTAAAGACAAGTGCCTCCAGTAGCGAACTATGGCAACTGTTTAAATCTCTTTAAGGCTTCAGATTAGAAATGTCTGACATCAGGCAATTAATTTCACCTGGAGCAGGTATCGTAGGCGGAAGGGGAACTGGAGGGACAGAGCGGAACTTGCATTAGGGGAAAGGGGCTGCCTCCACTTACCCGAGGCTGTAGAGCAATATGAGTAGACGGAATTTGAATTCTTCACGGTGTAACACCATGGCCCAATCTTTACAATGCCACTTTGTCCCTCCTGAAAACTGATAGGGGACAGTGGATTCTTAACATAAAAATAGTTTGTCTATGACAATTATTTGGTTAGTAATTAAAGTCATAGTCATTAGCGGTATATTAACTGTAATTGGAAGGTTATTTTATTTTGTCTCTCTCTTCACTGTCAGTAGAAGGGAAAAAGGACCGTCTCGCTCCTCGTCCGGCTCTCATTGTCCAGGCTCTCCCTCGTCTCCCGGTCAGCGCTCCGGCTTTGCTGGTTTTACAAAGAGACTTCCTAACAGGTTCTCTCTGCTACACTTTGCACCCATCATAGCTTGCGCCCCTCCTGCAGAGAAAGCTGTAGAAGACAGTTGAAGTTCATGACGGTTAAATACCTTGACCTAAACCACGCAGCTAGGAGAACTAGAATTTGAACCTAAGTTTGCCTTCAGAATCTAATCAAGGTCTTTTACTGATAAATACCACCTCTCCAGAGCAGGATGAGGAGAAGGAGAGGGATTTTGTAACACATCAAACCAAGGGTCAGATCCAAAACTGTTTTGTTTTCAGGCTGTCTAACTAAAGAATGTATTCCTAAGCTGGTTTCTTATTTAATTTGTTTTACTGTATTCAGTGTCATGAAAACCCTCAATGAGTAAAAGTTCAGGGTGAGATAAAAGATAAATTAAGAAATTATTTACTGCATCAATGGCTCTTTGTCTTATTAGAAAGCATTTCTTTAAATATCCCCACTAAAGTGTATCTTCCCATTAAAATTGCAATTAATTTATCTTCTTAGCATTGGCCACTGTAGATCCTGTCTACATCACTGCAAAAGTTAAACAGAAGATCTGGTTTTGAATTTCAGTGAACTTAAATCCGGTCATGGTGGAGGAAACTAAGATACATAATTAGTAACAAAAGAAATAATAAAATAAGAAGCATACTGGAAAATGTATGTTGCTCTGGGGGTTGAAAAAAAACAACAACCAAAACCAAGAAGCTCTTCAGCAGACTGTGATCTGAAGGACAGCGATGCAAATAGGAAAAGGCACAGGGAGAAGGGAAGTAACTGGTATATGGACCCAGGCGTGCATGGCAGGCGCTCTCTTGCTTGACGTATGAGGTGCCTGCCGTAAAGTGAAAGCAGTGGCTGGGAAGGAGGGGAGGCTACATTCAGGAGTTCTTTGACCACCGGGATGACTTTTTTAATAAAATTGAAAGGATCCTGGATGGTTTTTGACCTGGTAAGTGACGGGTTAGGCTGCCCCGGGACTGGTGAGCAGCACCGATCAGATACCACGGACAGGAGACTCTTGAAATATTCTCGGCGAGAGATCGATAGCTCTGCCCTGACTAGTGAGATAACAGCAGGAATGGGAAGAGGAAATAGATAGGAAAGGCAGTGCTGTAATAAAATGAGTAAGAGATAGAAATTGGAAGATAAGAGGGAGAGCGTGAGTGTCCAAAGGGCAATAAAGAAGAGAAACGAGTGGTCAGGCAGGCAAGAGCGTCCCACGAGGCCAGTGTTTGGAGACACAGACGTTGTTTAAAGAACAGGAGTTACATCACACTTCCAGAGTGAGTGATAACTGTGTTTTTCTATTTTCTTTTCATTGTTGTTCAACTACAGTTGTCCCAATTTTTCCCCCTTGCTCTCCCCTCCCCCGTCCACCCCTGCTCCCTCAGTCAGTCCCCACCCTGTTGTCCGTGTCTGCGGGTCCCTTATACCTGGTCCTTGACTAGACCCTTCCCCTTCTTTCCCCCCTTTATCCCTCTTCTCCCCCCTCCCCTCTGGTCACTGTCAGTTTCTTCTTTATTTCCACGTCTCTGGTTCTATTTTGCTCATTTGTGTGTTTTGTTCATTAGTTTCCACTTATAGGTAAGTTCACATGGTATCTAGACTAGCAGAGAATGAATTTATGTTAACTAAAGTGTTGTGTTATGCAAAGTTTATAACAATACCTGTGTTTATGTCTGTAAAATACAGTTAATGATACTTTAAAAGGAAATGATAAGGACTAATAGAGCTTCATATTGATATCAATATATCTAATGGCTTCAGACCACATTAAATACCAGCAATAAAAAGCTATGGTATGATAAACCTTATTGCAATAATAAAGAGTGCATGGCACTTTATCCTTTTAATTTCTATTGACTAAGAAGCACAGAATATATTTCTTTAAAAAATAGCTTCTCTTTTAATGATAGAAATACAAAGATGTCTATAAAAGTGAGCGGTTTTCAATGGGCTCCTGGTTGCTCCCCATGAAAATGGATTTTTTTTTTTTCAGTAAAGAAAGGTAAAATACTAAGTAAGCCACCAACATTGTGTCCACAGTTCACTGTATGCTAGGATCTGTGATTTGTATATATTATTTAATTTATAAAACTCTGCACATTAGTTTCTATAATGATATTCACTTCACAGCTGAGAAAATCTAACATTCGAGAAGCTGAATAACTTGTCTCCAGATTCCGGATGGAGACAGCTGTAGTGGGGATCACAAGGGCAAGAACCCAGCAGGCGCGGTGACTGACTGACTAGGAGACCGAGTGGCTTTAGGGCCAGGCGTCACGGCGGCTGGCCCCAAGGTTTCTGGCGTGCTCATCAGGTAGAGAGTTGTTCTTTGCCTGGACAGGGAACTTCTGAGGAGTGGAGCCGGGCCTTGCTGTCGAGAAGTGCAAGAGGTGGGCTTAATGGACCACTGGTGCTGAGGATTAGGGGGCTTAACGCAGGAATGGACTGGAGGTAGAGCTTCCAGAGCCATCAGTCACAGATCATTCCTAGAGGACGTGGGTGCGTGTGTGGTGTTGCCCATAGAGCCTGTGTGGAGTGGGAGATGGAAGGGCTATGCATGACACCCAGGGACCAGCCGGCTCGGGGGAGGGCAGGGAGAGCAGCCCGCGGAAGAGACTGGTAAGAGCACGCACAGGGCGCAGGCGCTCCGAGCACATGCGCTTTCACTCTGGAGTTCAATGAGGTCACTTCTTCGTGAAATAGCTGTTATAGTACTGCTTCTTGCCTACATCTGTCCTTTGTCCTTAGTGTATTAAGTGGCACATTTTGTATATGTCCATTGAGAGAAGAAAAAGGAAAGTTGCATTGAGATCACCAGTGCATGGTGTACGATTGACATGGGCTTCTGTATACTTTCCCGTAAATGCATAGACATGTTTTGATGGGAAAACTGGTGAAAGCTTCAAAATGACACATATCTATCTTTTATCTAATCTTGGGGAGGGATGGAGACAAGGGGAGAGAGTGCCTTTTATAGTTCTTTGATATACTATTACTTTTATCCCAGGAGCCATTCATATTTAGGGATGATAGTGACTCTGATAGGTTTATGCAAATGTGTTCCTTACCAAAATGTAGCCCAAATAATCTGGGTGGGACAATTCATGTTAAATAAAAATATCTTGGTTAACAGAAATTTATGTCATCAAAGTTTGTGTCATTTTTGCAACGAAACTTCCAAAAGAGGACACATAACCAGGATTACAATAACTCATGTTTTCAGACTTTCGGTCGTTACAGAGTTGTAGGAGTGAATTTGTTTCCTCAATGTTATAACAGATATTGTCACAAGTATAAATAGTCTATTTACCGTGTCAATAGACTTTGAAAGAATCCAAATGAAAATAACATAATCACCTCTGAAGAACTGAGTTATAATATATTAACTTGGACTAACCTGGAAGTTCCTGGTTTTCTCCCAATTTTAATGCAAGGTGAGATAAGAATGTTTCTAAAGGTAGTTAGTAATCATAAGTTCTAGTTTCAAATCTACAGTAGAGTCTCTCTTCAATTATTTTTAGACTCAGAAAAAAAAATTAGTTTTCCTATTTCAAACTAAAAGAAGAACAAAACCAAAATATTTGGAGTACCGTGAAGCTATGGGCTATTCTAGAATCCATGTTTGACATAAGCTCCTAGACATAAATGTGCAGCACCAGTATTTTTCCTGTACCCTATTTGTTACTGTTTATTCTAATCTATGATTGATAATTTGATATAAAGTACTTCAAAGCACTTTTAAAGAATCTTTCTAAAAGCATGGTTTTTGGTTTTTTTTTAAGGTAAATATCCTGGTCTTACATTTCTCCCAGACTCCCATGCAGCCTATAGGGGAGGATGTTTTTTACTTCTTCACCAGATAAAAGGGGTTATGGGTGTTTTGAATTTATTTCAATAACACTTGACATCAAATAATTTTTAGAATTCTATCATCACATTACCTTGCTTTAGGAATATGTTGACTTGGATTTAAATTTGTTTCCATTGAAGGAATGAGTTACCTTATTTTTAAAACCAACACTTTGTTCTTTTACTCATTTATTTAACTGTGAATCAGTATATATTTTTTATGGTGGGGGGGAAGAATGGTCTGGTTAATGGTCTGCATCTTAAAATCTGATTTTTAAAATTTCTTGTAGGTTTTATTGGGATTTAATAATGCTTATAATGATGGTTGGAAATCTGGTCATCATACCTGTTGGCATCACGTTCTTCACAGAACAGACGACCACGCCGTGGATTATCTTCAATGTGGCGTCAGACACAGTGTTCCTCTTGGACCTGATCATGAACTTCAGGACTGGGACTGTCAATGAGGACAGTTCTGAAATCATCCTGGACCCTAAAGTGATCAAGATGAATTATTTAAAAAGCTGGTTCGTGGTTGACTTCATCTCATCCATCCCAGTGGATTATATCTTTCTCATTGTAGAAAAAGGAATGGACTCCGAAGTTTACAAGACGGCCAGGGCACTTCGCATTGTGAGGTTTACAAAAATTCTCAGTCTCTTGCGTTTATTACGACTTTCAAGACTAATAAGATACATACATCAGTGGGAAGAGGTAAGACATATTTTACTTTTTTAATGCCACTGTATTATGATTTTTAAAAACTATAACTGTTTAAAAATGAACACCTATGTTATGTCTGAGTTTTATGACATTCAAGGAGAAAATTTTTTATTTTTGGCACATAATTGATATGTGTGTCTTCAAAAAAGATATAGTCAAATGCTAGATTTGAATCCACAGAAAAAAATTAGTGATTTTAAAACTGTTGTTTTATATCAGTTTAGTGTTTCCTTAACAAATCCACTTTAATAAAAAAAAAATTTTTATCCTAATCAGTGTAACCCCTCTTCCATCCATAGGTGGCTGGTTTTTATCTGCTATGAGTACATCAAGTACCATCTTTGAGAACGATGAGGAGGGTCTATTTGCTAATCTAGTTTGGATTGTTAACTCTATGAGATAACCTGTATATCCTCTCATATTGAATTTTCAGAGAATTTGTGTTTAAAAAGCACTTTTGAATGTTTCTAAGTTGTAGATGTTAAGACTGATTTTAGGGTAATAATTTTGCTCTTTGTTATGCTTTGCGTATAAATTATTTATGATTGTTTCTCTCCATTAACTCATTTCATAAAACTGGAAAACAGCATACCCAGGAGGCAAATTATTACATAAAAAACACAGATCCTATGGTGGATAAATGTAGAGAGTGTGGCCAACAGTTTGCAGAATAGAGTGACGATCATTCTTAGATGGTTGTTGGGACCTGAACGGGCTCACTCAGCCTGCGGGAGTTTCCAAAAACCTAACCTATATGCACATCACCAAGTGAAGGAGCTTTCATTCCCTGTTTCCAGAGTCTGCATGCTAACCTTTTTGACTTTCTCTGCCATCTAAGTTTACCTTTCCTTTTTAAATGAATTATCACCTGAATTTTATTGTCGGCGTGAAAATGAGGGTTGAAAGCCTTTGAGCTCGCTCAGCCTGTAGTAACGAAAACAATATACCTGCTACGGATTCATTGTCTCAGCACTCGTTGCAGAAATTATTTTTAGCATTTTGAGGATGAATGATGATTTGGAATTTAGGTTTAAGCAAGTCATAAAATGGGACTTCTGTGAGCATCAGCTCCGCTTTCTGTGAGGGTGTGGCAGCGTGTTGTGTGCTTGTCAATGGCATTTTGGTTCACAGCATTTCAGGAAATGACATACAGCAATAAACACTGCATGAGACATTGCTGAAAAGGCTTAAAAATGGATCACTGTTAAAATATAGATGTGGGTGATATTTAAAATCGAATGAAGCACATTTGAGAGATTGGATTCATCTTGTAATGTGTCTAGATAGCACATTCCCTATAAAGTGTAAGAAATGTTTGGTTCTCAAACTTCATTGTACCAATTTGAGATTAATATCAAACCAAGGGTATTACTGATAATAATAACTAATGTATGTTGAGGTATTATTATATGTCAAGTCATATATTTGGCTCTACACTTGGGTTAGTTCGTTAAACCTTCCCAGTAACTCTCGTGACTTGCTCAGATTCCCCGAGGTGGTAGTAGATGGAGCTGGGCTTCTAACCTTGGCAGCTTAACTCTGCAGGCAATGCCCTGAACCACAAAACAATGACATACACTCTTAATGAGAAATGCCTTAACATTCAATGATCGTATCTATCGAATAACGATTGTAGATGAGTATGTACCACTTAAAACCTGGTCGCTGGTCACACACACAAAATTTTAATGACGGGCCTGTGAAATGAAAAGTCACTGACATAAACAGCCAGTCCATTAAACAGGCAGGAGGCCACGTGGCTGTCTTCAGTATCTTGTAGTTTTAACCCAGTTACCCCAGAGAACAGCATCAGGATGAACAGATGGCATCCTATCCGATAAAGTGGCAGGCCATGTGCACGAGCAGGAGGACACTCCTTCACAGTGATGTCCTCTGGTCCCAGCAGCGGTCATGGACACCCAGATCTGGGTGCCGCGATGGTGTTTTAAAGATGCCATGATACAATAATTCAGGAGCATCAGCTCGCTGCCACTGCGACTGTAAAGTGCAATTCAATATGCGCTTGCAGGCACTTGGTAACGCAACACCCTCCGGCCAGAGTTGTGAGTTGGCAAGGTCTTTCTTATAAATAAATGACCTTGATAATAAATGAACCATAAGCTCATCGAAGTGAAGGATGAGTTCCTGATTATACGATACCCTCCTATAATATCACATATAGCATGGATATTTAATGTCTGTTAGTAACACTGTTAAACAGGGAAGAAACAGTAATATTTAATCCAGAATTTAAGGCAGATTCATTATTTCATCACCTACATGATTCAAACCCAAAGCACAAAGGAAGCCAAGGTTTGGAAAGGGCGCAAGCGCGCGTTTAGGAGCAGAGACACAGCAGCACACAGAGCGCAGCGGCGGCTCCGGGCGTGTTTGGGAGAAGGCCGCCCAGGCGCGTGGGCGCTCACCCACACGCCGTGCGCTGTGGGGGGTGTTCCTACCCGGCCGGCCGGCGCTGGATTCAGCAGCTCTGCGGACGTGAGGTGTGAAGCCTGGAAGCTGCTCCCGCTCTACGTGAGTCGCTTCCAAGGAAAGCAGCTGCCTGCTATGGGGAACTGCTTTCATCGCCGACGAGACATATATATATATATATATATATATATTTTTTTTCCGGTCTGAATTAGTTCAGCTGAAAAACAACAAGAAGCGCCAAAGCCAGATAAATGAGAGAAATATTGTGAATGAAAGAGAGAAATTTTAAAACCAAGCCCTTCTGTTACTGCCATTACTAAAGTTGAATATTGGGGCTAATACATGAGGAAGAGCTGACCTGGCCAAAGTAGTTATGAAACACTCGGCGTTAAGAGTCCGGGGAGAAGTTGTTTCCCGGAGACCGTTAGGAGATCAATGGCTGTAAGATGCGAAAAACAGAGTCAGCTCCGTGTTTCTGGTGTCAAGTTTCATACCCCAACGGTACACACAGGGCGGGGGAGGTGAAACCCTGGGGCGATCACTGAGATGCATCAGGCCAGAAAGTGCCTTTGCCCCTCATCTCTGGAAAACTGAGTACATCTTTCCCACGATTGTAGTTGTTGTTGTTTTTTAATCCTTTCTTTCATTCAGCATTGTTTTTATTGTCGTATTTCAAGTCAAGTCAGTGACCCTAACAGGAGGAACTAATTGCCCTGATCCTCCTAAAAGAGACATACGGGGAGGAAATCCTTGGAAATTAAATGGGATGTTATTAATAATTTTTTACCATCACAAGCCGCGGAAGAGATAAAGGAAGATTAAGAGCTTAGAAAAGGGGAGATTATTCAGTTAATAAAGGTGAAGAACCCTATGAACCTTGAATGCTGCCTATCCTAATTGTTGTTGTTGTTGTTTTTTAATCCAAGGGGGATGATCTTTAAAATTACCATCTTTTGCCATGTATAATGTGCACTTTTTTGGCCCACGTTTTTGAGGGGAAAAATAAGGATGCGCATTATACATGGGTAGTGCCTGAAATACTTTGTATCTGTTCTTGTGTTTTGTAATTTTTTGTTACATAAAAATTCTTGTACCATCATACGTTCAAAAATAAATGCTAAAATTCCTTTATTATACAAAACAAGTATCTAAATATAAATAAATAAAAAATCAAATTAAAAAATTAAAACGAAAGATACTTTTTCCTGAAAGTTTGGGCCAAAACCGTGGGTGTGCATTATACATGGCAAAAGATGGTATTAGATATTTAGGAAATAGTAACTGAGAAGAGAAATACTACTCTGTATCAGTTATCTATTTGTAGGATTCGGTGCCATGGGCAATGTGGAAAAAAAAAAGTGGGAATGCATGATGCTTATATAGTAACTATGGCTTTAGAACACAGACCTGTAATTTTTTTTTTTTATCCCCTCAACCTTCCTTATATAGGTTTTAGACCTATCACAACGACCTAATCCATTCTGTGGCAAGGAAGAGGGCCTGTGGTTCTGAGATTCGTGTGTGTGTGCAGCAGTTTCAGGTGAATAATGCGTCTGGGACATTGTGATGCTCTTGCAGCAATCAATAGTAGATTTTTATGCCGGCTTAGAGACAGATTTATCAACAAATTATGCTTAACAACGGAGCATTAAGAAGGAAATTTATTCCACAGGGAGCTAATTCGGATTGCAGTTTCTGTGTTTGGTTAATTTTAACATTCTGTTGGTTTAGAGGAGAAGTGGACTCTTGCTATAAATTGCCTGTCTCTCATTAGGCGGCACCTACCGTGAGTCCTTGCACCGATCTGGAGGCGCGGCTCGCCAGCGGCCAGCAACGGTGCTTCCTGTGGCCGCGCTCAGCCAGGGCGCGGAGGCCCTGCGTCACCGCGCGTCCGTGTGCGCGTGCTGGCTGCGCCTCCCAGGCTCTCCAACATGCCGTCTGGCCTCACCAAGATCACTTCCTATTTGCACCCAACGCCCCTTTTCTGTTGGTTTTCTTAGTTTCACAAGGCTTTTCGCAGAAAATGGTTCTTCCTGTCTCTCTAATCCTACATGTGCCGCACCTCAGATTTGTGGCTGTTCCAGAAAACATCCTATCTCCTTGACACCTTCACTCTGAACAATTCTGCTGGCTCTACTGGCACTTGTTCTTGCTGACGGCTTGGTTGCTGGTGCCTGCTTCCATGCCCTCTTTTCTCTGTTCGTGGACACAGATGTCTACGTGGAAGAGTCAGTGTCGACTTTGGCCATTGCATCGCCTTGTGCACTAACTAGTACGGAGTTGTAAACACAATGGGTTCTCGGAGTCTGCCTAGCCCCCAACTACCTGGCAGTCCTCCCTGTTCTAAATCCATTAAGTAGTTGCAAGGGAAGATCTGTTCTTCACTCCTAAGCATTTACTAAGTGGCTCCTATTTGCAGATGAGAATACAAAGCAGACCCCAGCTTTGCAGAAACACAGGCACGGGAGCAAAGAATTGCAGATGGTGTGGGAAGTGGTGGTATAAAGACGGGAGTGAACAGCAGGATCGTTTTGTGTCGGGGGAGGGGTGGTGTTTATGTA